CGAAGCGGGGAGAGAGTGGAGGTGCTGTGGAAAGAGATGGAGATTAATAATACGGGTATTAGGGGTAGTCGAGGAAAAGGGTACGGGAAAGGAAGGAGCACAGGGCTCTTCTGCAGGAGAGCAGGAGAGGGGAAGGACACATTAGGATGGGGCATCTTAAGAGGGAGCAGGGAAATTACCCTGATAATAGGTCCATATCTGTTGTGGCACTGGCCGCAATAAGCATACCAACAAAATATCTAATTCAATTAACACAGCCAAGCTTTTTTTCTTGGTTCTTGCCAGTGAAAGGCTGGGCACCCTTGGCACAGGACACCAGAGGTAGAAGGAAGGGAAGAAGCAGGTCTGGGCTCTGCATGCCCAGGGTTTGGGAAGGGTTGACTTGTGTTTAAATCTTACTGAAATAAATGAGATTTAAGCAAAGGCTTAATTGCTGCACTCAATAGAGATGTTTTCTTGAATCAGGCCCTTCATCAAGAAATGTTAAATAGATGTATTTCCTTCCCAAGACGTCTGCCTGTGAGGACAATTTCATCATCTCTGAGGTGCTCGAGTGACAAGGCTAGATAGCCACCTGGGCAAGGAGAGCGCTGAACCTCTCAGACCCCAGTTCTGCCACCAGTGCTCATGGCAAATATAGTCTATTTTTTTCTCTGAAATAACCTCCAGCTACTTCAGCAAGACTGCTGCTGAGTGCAGGGCTGCTCCTCATGAGAAAGATGACAGACTCCCGTCTCGGGCTGCCAACTCCTTCATATCAGGACTTTACAGATAACTGAAAACCACCATCATGCCGGCATCACAGGCACTAGAGAAACGCGCAGCGGATGCTCCATGTCCTCCACCTGTGCAGAAAAAAAGTCACGAGTCTTCGGTGGAAAATAAACCCATGCAGTCAAATACCAGAGCGAGGTGGGGGAGGTCAGACAAATTAAATAGATGGATCAGATTCCAGCATGCCCCGAAGGTCACTCCACGCAGGGTCTGCCGGAGGGAAGGTGGGAGCAGTGTCGGTCCTCCAGGGAGGGTGCCAAGCTACCAGTCTCTTGCCGATTAATTCTGGGGAGCAGGAGGCGGTGGAGAGCACCCTGCCAATTGCAAATGTGGTGATGGGGCATTGGGGGCATATATACGCATCATTAGTCATCCGCAAGAATTTTGTTTTTGTAACCTCTGCATTTTTATCTGTCACTTCGAGCAATAAATATGCACTCCCGCCAGTTATTTGACATTACACTTGCTTTGGATGGTTGCCTTTCCCAAATATTAATAGTAACTCATTGTGGACACAGCATTGGTATTTAGTTAGATCAGACCAGCTTCTTTTAAAAAACAACTTTTCGTATAAAGAGAACAGATGTTTTTAATTTACACAAAGAACAAAAACAAAGTTCTATTGTTCAGTTACAGTGAACACAAACATTACAGGCACACAGAAATTAACACCAATAGCACGTTAAAAAAAAATTAAAAGCCCATCATTATACAGGTCTGCTTATTTGCACTTTTTCCACCACTTTAACGATTTAGTGGCATGCAATGATAGCAAGTGTTGCTTTTTGGAATTCATATGAATTTGAGTGTGGCATATTTTAAAGATAAAAATGGCATAAACACAAAACCACTTTCTAAACACATTATACAGGCAATAATAATAACAATAATGACAATAGTTTTATAATAACAAACAAGGAACGCAAACCCTCACAGTCCAGGGCATAAGCCAACTACTAGCTCATGGGGATAGGAAGAAATTGCCTCTTTGAGCTGATTATTCTATTGTTGTTCCTTACAGGGTGTCTTTTCCTCTGCAGCACCTGCACACAACAGCAAGGCCTCAGCCCTCTGAAACACAATGTGTGCATATGAAAACGAACAGAGCATTTAGTTGCATCAGTGAGGTTATCTTCTGGTATGGTATAAAGTTAAACCAGAACTATCCTTAGATGCTATTTTTCCCTGGGGATTTAAAAGCCCTTTGCATGCACCCACCAGCTCCTGGTGCATGCATGTGGGAGCAGAGCTCCAGCACACATCCATGCCAAGGTGATCAAGTCCTTTCCAGAACAGGAGTGCTACCCTGCAGGTGGAGGTCGCTTGCACCTCTCTGTGTCTGACAGACACGCACCCTGAGACAACTTTTCTCAGACATAAAGCTTAGCATCATTTTCATTTCTTACCCGCTGGACCCACAACCTGGATATCTAATTCTCAGCTCACGCCAAGGCACAGCTCTTCCCATGGAGAAGCATCTCCTCTAGCATCTCCTTCTTGAAGATTTCCTAGTGGCTCTCTCTAGTTGGTTGTCACATCTTAGGTCACCTTCTTGGGCAGCTATTTCTAGGTTTAGAAATACTGACATACCGGTATTTCTAACTCTTTTGGATCTGCTAGTCCTGCAGCTGCAAGAGGGCAAGGAGGGCAGGGATCCCTTATCTTGGCTTCTCCCAACTCTATATAAGCAAAGATTCTGCTTTTGGTACATTAAAACCAGACTTCACCCCATTTCCTTTCCCACTTTTCACTCATCATTTTTTTGTCCAATAATGGGTGCCATTTTACTGTATCCCACACTCAGACTACATATCAAACTATAAGGCTTACTTAAGAACATCGCATAGGACCTAGTGAAAAAAAAAATACAACTTCCTTGCATTTTAACCAGTTGGAAAAATAAAGTTTTAATTATAAGACTTGGGACAGAAAAATGAAAAAGTCTTTTTCCGTAGCATTCAGGTAACCTGGGGATTTCAGTGCCACAGAACAACAGAAAGACAAACAGCATGACTCAAAGGGCTGGAGCCTTTTTCCACCACTAAAAGCAAGCCTCAACTGGGAGAGCTGCTATATGCGTGCTGCTCCAAGTGGCCGGTTTTAAACTCTCAATCACATTATATAATACAAAACCCAGTTCCAGACCCATGCAGGAAAAAAAGAGAAACCAAAACATTACATTCATACGGTACCTTTCAGCTTGAAAGAACCCAAGCCATGAATCATCTTATCCACCATAGAATGCCATCACTTCAACGTCGAAACACAGCAGCTGTTTATTACTCTACAAGAACATTAAGATGGGTGCTCTTATGCAGCCAAAACAGCAAGGAAAACCAAGTAGACAAATATCATAACCTGGAATGCACAAGCTTATCCTCCCTACCTTTATAATGAGTACCAGAGGGACTTTAGGGACCACAAGCAGCCGATGCTTCCAGCCGCCCAATGCTAACATTGCTTTCTGCAGCACTTAAGCGATCCTTGGAAGCCAAAAGCATTTGACCTGGACTTGCTTTGCTTTGCTTGGTTGACAGCGAGGCCAAGAGCTGGCTATCGCACACTGACCACAGTTGCTATGTCACATCCAAAGTCGTTTCTGCCACATTTAGAACCACAATTAATGCCAGAAACAGAGTAATCGCGATGCTCTGAGTTGTCCAAGGGTCCGGAAATTCATCTCCTCACTGCTTGTGCAAAGAAGGCAGCTAATTGCAGTCGTGTACCTATCCTGATGGTTGGCTGTTCATTAATAAATTGCAGTCACGCTCTCCCAAACATGGCTCCCTCAGACCTTGACTCTCAGTATCTCGGAGAGATGCTACATGGCTCTTGGAAATGGCTTATCAAAATTGGAACCGTTTGCTATCCAAATATACTGAAGTTTTCACTCAAAATTCAAGATCTCATTGCTACACCACACTCATCACTGTGGTATCTGAGTACCGCCATTTCCAGCTGAATTCCAGCCCCAGCTGGATTCAATGAAGAGTCACTCGGAGTCCGGGGACGCAGAGTTAATGCGGGCCAGGATCACGCGGTGAGTCCTGTGTGGGCTCATGAGAAGTTTTTTGCAGAAGTTGGACTTAGGCTCTCGCTGAGTGAGAAAGGGTCTTGTGGCCAAAGGACATTAATTAGGAGATTGCTAAAGCCCCAGGGCTCTGCTCCAGAGCACTCACACAAGCATGCCACCGGGTCCGTGCTGTATAAAGTGAGCGTGCCCGGCAGGGTGGTGGTGTGGGTTCTGTTGTTACTGCAGGGGTCCTCTGAGAAACGGGGACAGAGGAGGAAATTACACTGATTGCACTGCGTCCTGTGAGTGGACGTGCCCACTGGCTTTTGTTTATCCCAAAGTGGTGTGAAGTATACTGTAAAAACAATCTCATTGCTACAGCACAGCTCTGCTCATGCATGTAAACCGAAGTAAGTTAAGAATGGTTGGGCAATGCCCCCAAACGGGGACCAACAGGAGATTGAGCCTGGAGTTTCAATGGCTAAAATGTCAACCTAAATGTCCTGTACATCTCACCCCACCATAGCTCATCCATGCCACACAAGCTGTATTTTTAGCTCACCAAACCTCTCAGCCTTTCTGCTTCCCGGGGCACTTGCAGTCCCAGAGCCACAGCTCCCACCAGGCGCAATGACTTTCTTTTCCCAGGCAATATGTTTGGCCATTTACAGACCTGCACATGGTCTGACTGATCCAGAGATATCGGAGCACTTCTAAAAACAAGATGTTTTCACCAAAACTTTCTCCGATAATCAAACAAATCAAAGGGCGACCTAACTGGATGCACAAAAGCAAAACGTGTAGCTGCCAAAGAACTGCTGTTATCTCTGGCATGGCTGGGTCACTGGGACATTCCACAGAAACAAAAATGTATTTCCTGTGTAGACCCAATTAAAATATCTGCTGGAAAATGTTTCATGCGCTCTTAAGACCTGAAGCCAAAGCTACCCAACTGGCTTGTAAGGAATGAGATTACTTCCCAGGGGTTGATGGAAAGCACTGAGCACCCTCTGCTGCACTCATTAAAATTAGGCTCAGTAGCAGCACCTGACCTTGTAAATACCAGGCAGAAGGGTGCTGTGCCCTCCCAGCAAGAGGAAGGCTGCCTCCCGCTGCCAGGAGCTCAGATAACGTTGGAGGGCACTTCAGGATTCAGCCCAGGCTTCCCTCTGCAACAGAAGCCACTGTCCTCTCCCGATTCACGCGCAAGGTTTGGAGAAGACAGCACAATCTCTCTGTTGTAAAAGGTCAGCTATACCTTTCCTCCCGGGTCTGACCAAGTTCCCTCTCCACAGCTGAGTCAGCTTTACTTCAAAGGGAGGAGGACTTTGCTGCCTATGCATGGGTCTCTGGGGACAGATGGAGGCTGTGGGTTACTCACTATGCAGGTAATGAGACTTCAGTTGCTGTCTTGTTTATTTTCTGTCTTGATCTTTTTTTCCTCTGTTCACCCCATCATTTGTTCATGTGTTTATACTGTAGGATCTGGCTGCTTTTCTTGCTGTTCTGTCTGGGACAAGGGAGGCAGATGGCTCCCCCAGGTTGGTGAAACATGATAAAAGGATAGTGGGGAGAGGCAAGGATGAGAACTTGGTTATTTTACTCACAACAAGATATGCCTCTGCTCTGCTCTGCAGTCCCACTGGCTCATACGCTCTATATGTGCTCCCACCAGGTTTTGTAGAGAGCAGTTGCCGCTCCAGGATTTTTTGGATGAAACTGAATAAACTCTTGCTCCAGGGAAAGTTCTTCCAGCTGGAAATCAATGGTGAGTCACAAGTGGCTGCCCTGAGTACCATGAAGTTTGGGGAAACACCTAAATGATCACAGTGCCTGTGATCTGGATGCTGCTGCCATCTACGTGATAACTGGTAACTGGCCTCAAAGAACTCACAGAACATCCTTGCCACCTAGACCTGGCCTCTCACACCTCAATTTGGCCAATATCCCTACAGGTGAGTAAAGCTTGTATGTACAGCCACAGTCCCCTTTGCATCTTATGTCTAACATGCTGGGGAAAGAAGGATGGTCTGAGGAGGAACGACTGACATTTGGCTTTCATTCTTTTGTCTGAAGCCTTACACATGTCTAGCAAGGAAAACAAAGGTGACATTGCAGCTTGGATATGTCCTAGACAGCACAAATGATGACAGCAGTGTAGGCTGGGTAATACCCAGAAAACACACTCTAAATGAGTGCCGAGTGAGTGCTGCAGCAATTAAAGGATTCTTTTTCTTTCCTTTTTATTTAACACCACAATGGCAGTGAAATACCCTCTTTCAGATTGAACAAAGGGTTTCCATTTTGCTGAGGAAAACAAAAATCTACTTAACCAAAATGAAAACCAGAAAATGTTCACATTAGACTGAACAAAGTATGTGATTTCACCCCAAACCAGATTTCTTTCTGGTGAGATCAGTCCACTTTTTTCTGGGTTTGGGGTTTTTTCAATTGATTTGGAGGCAGAACTGAAAAAGGCAAGTACAACAAGGGTGTGGGGAGAAGTGATAGCATTTATGAGAGCAACTGATATCACTGGAAAAAACAGACCAGCCTTCAGGCACAAAAAGGTTGTTTGTTTCTTCCAGCTCTATCAGTTGGTCTCATAAAAGCTATTTCCTCTTCTTCCAAAATTCTTCACGCTTATCTCCTTTGTCTATCCTGGCTGCAAGAATACATCTACTGAAACAGCAGTTATTAGTACTGTTCAACATATAAAGATGACAGACAAATCTAGAAATTACAACGGCAGCTGGTTAAACCCTATGTATTTGTACAGATTCTTGTGTCTAACCCAAGACTAAAATAGTTCCTTAATCAGAGGAGCAGATAATTAGCAGAATACAATGTTATTAGCTGTACCAGCATCAAGAAATGAGGGCAGCCAGCTCCCATCATGCCCATTACTTGGCTCCCCCATCAGTTCAACAGCACGCAGCGCCTTGCCAAGCAGAGATGAGCAGCAAACCTGACCAATTTGTAGAAGTGCCCATCCAAAATAGGTCCATGACTACATCCTTTGATCAGAGTGAGAAGCAGGTTATTGTGACTCGAGGATTTTTAGAAATGGATGGGCTTAATTGCCCATAACTCTTTTCTAGAGAGTAAAATCAGGGAGGTAGAAACGGACATGATGCCTCAGAGAAACTCTCTGTAATAGTTACTTCAAGGTGGCTATGGCACAAGGTTCTGGACACAAAGAAATGGGCACTAAAGTAAACGTACTGTGGGTAGGCTTGAGACACGCCAGAATGTCTCCTGCACTCTAACACGTACCAGCACAGCTTCACCAGCTCCCTAGCAGCACACGTGTCGTTGGAGAGCACCCAGCCCAGCTGGACCTCTGCTCAGAGGAGACCTGCCTGAGGGGGCCGCGCCACTGACCTGCGACTCGCCCTGAGCTTTCCATCCCACACGTCATTCCCTTTTTCTACAGATCCTTATGCTGGCCCCCTTCTGCTGGATGAGAAACTAGCATCTCGCTGTGGCTACGTCCTGTCAGAAGATGCGTGGGGCAACCCCGTCTTCCGTGCGTCGGCGCTTGGCTGCCACGTGACCAACGAGGTAAGACCCGGAGACGGGCTGAAGACAACTTCAGACAGTACACGCCCTCCAAAAAGACAAAATTTGGATATTATATGGCGTTCCAATGGCACGTTTTGAGAACTCGAGAAATAGTGAGCTCGAAGAGTTAGTGCTGATGGTGTGTAGAAATGAATAGGCAATGGCTCTCCAGTACGAGGTTTGTTCAGTGACTGACATGGGATTTCCTCTCTCCATGAAATGACACTTAGCCTAATGCTGCTGACTAGCTGCCAGTTCTCAAGCATATCCTTGTAGCTGCTGATTTGCCAGAGAGTTTCTTGAAAGCCTCTCTGGAAAGAAGTAGGCATCTGCTTGAAAAAGCAACATTTGCAGTGTGATTCTGGCAGATCATTTCCTGGCTTAATTTGTGTGGTAATGTGCCTGTTAACACATGCCTAGGAACGTAGGTCACACACATCTATTAGACCCAGATTTGTCTCACGTAACTTTAGCCATCTAAAAGATAATGTCTAGTCAAAACTAGTTGTTTACACTTCCACAATAGTCAATGGAGAGAAACAGGCATCTCGGAAGGTGATTCACCCCTTCCTAAAATATGTGTAAAAAATTAGGCAGGACTTCTAATTTCTAAATGTTAGTTGAGGTGCGATGTACCTAGAAACAGAACATATCAGGTAGAAACTTCATTGCTCGTCCATGTTTAGTGTGGTTGATCCTAGAAGCCCCTCAATAAAAATAAGGCAAAACTTTATGGGCAGAGGTTACGCTAACAAGAATGGGGGTGTACAGTGTTCTGTGCAACAACCAGGATTTCCAGACTGGAAATTTCTCTGGAAAGGTTTTGGCTTTCTCTGTACAAAAATACACATCCATGTCAGATAGAAGCACAGTCCATGGCTTCATGTGTTGCCCCTGGAGAGCTGAAGGATGAAGAGGAGCTCTTAGTGTGAAGCTAGTCAAGATAGACAGACACTAAACAGCATTTGTAAGACAGATCTGAACTACCTACATCAAACTAAAAGCTCCAGTACTGTCTCTCCATGAGGAGGCACGTAGCAGTCATGAAGGGGAGGAATGTGAACCACATGGTGAGGAAGGCCAGATCTTCCCCTGACTAGCTGCTTAATACTGTGGCAAGAATAGTGCTGAGATGTGACCTGAGGCAAAGGCTGTAAGTACTGAGGCAATGCCTCTGGCTCAGAAAGCCCCTGAGCGCAATCCACTTAGGGTGGTACGTCAGAGGAACCGTCACTACAACTCTCAACCTGTTCTCATCCTTCTAAACCACTCTTGGAAACAGGACACTGGGCTGGACGGTCCCCTGCAGCCGCTCCTGAGACCTTTCACACCATCTGTTGAAGTGCCTGTTTTTCTTCCCAGGCAGATGAGTTGTTTTCACTGACTGTGAATATCAAAGTCTCCTCATTTTCAAGCATGAGGGCAGCTGTGACCTACACCTACCCTATGTACTGCTCCTACTCTTCCTGGGCTTCAAGAGAAATTGTGTGTGAAGAAAACTACATGGAGGTAAAAGTTTCCCACTGAAGGCAAAGCTACGTTCAAGCTCCCTGCCAGGCACAACAACCTCCACAAATTCCTGTCAGAATTTGATTTTACACTATGTACCAGGCGTAATAGTGACCTGCTGATATTTATGTAGATGTAAGCACTGTAGATGATTACTAGTAACACTTTTACATGTCATAGGTATTTTGTATGCAGTAAAATTCAGTTAACTGTACAGATAACGTAAGTCAAGCCACTGCAAGCGAATCAGCAGCCAGGTATGCCAACCTGTTTAGGTCACAAGAGTACCTTTATGTTATAAAGTGCTGCAGCATCTCTGAGGATGTCACCCTTACATTTGAAATACTAAAACCTACAGTTTGCAGAGCTGCAGCCCTGTTGTGTCACACGACTCACAGGACATCGCCGTGAGACAGATCCTGCCTCACGCTGGGTGGTACGATTTGGCTGTTCAGCCTGCTACCAGCACCTATATGCCAAACAAGAAATAAGGCACTGAACAAAACAAACTCCGCCTTTTATATGCACCTACTAGAGGCAGGACAAAGCAAGCATATTTGTCCTACTAGGACTTAAAGCTGTGCAGTCACGTCTGAGTGTCCCAACACACTTAAAGCATGGTACAGATGTCTGGAGCAAACACTGACCCCCAACTCATTGTCCAGAACTTGCCTCACTCTGCAGGACATGCTGGTAAGAATTACACCACAGCATCTACCTTAGGTATTGGGGATCCTGCATTTTCAGGTGTTCAGCCTGCATGGGAAGAGGGAACCAGTTCTGTTAAACCCAATAGCTTGCTTCCCTATACCTCCAGTGTAGAGACCCAGATGTCCCTGAAAGTCTCCAGAGTGTGATCTAGTTTACAGCTTACCAGATATGAAACAGGACTTTTGATTCACCTGGTTATACAAAAAGTCTTCCCTCTACTGTACATGCACCACCATAGATGCCGTGACTTTAACTTTCATTTTAGGACCACAGAAGTTAACGTAGTCAAGAAACTGTTTGGAAACACTTTAACTACCTCCAGTGAATGTAACTTGCTAAATCCCAACAGATACTGGGGAAGAAATCTGAAAGCCCCCTCTCTGCTCGCCATGCCTGTAATAATGCTGAAGATTTGTTTGTTCTCAAACAATATCTCATCTGTCCCCAGGTGTCAGTGAAGACCGATGTCCCTGCAGTTTCAAATGACTACACTGTAGCGTGGATGTCAGCACTGCCAGAGGTATGAAGGGGAGTCTTTCCTAACAGCTCTTAGCCTGCCTCATCTTGCTATTCTCATGCGTCATTCTTGGGGCATAGCTCCATCTCCGTCAAAAAAAAAGGAGAGGGCAAAATTGCCGTGAAGTACTGAAAAACCTCTCAAGTTTTCTTAGAGCTCTAGACTGCAAAAAGACATTTAGGTGGGAGAATAGAGCCATATGCTTGTTACATTAGTGGAAACTGAGTTCAACACAAACAAAGGTAGGTGGTTCTTCACACAATGGGTAGTGAATCTGTCAAACTGCTTGCCAAAAGATGTAAGTGGCTGCTAAAAGCTTGCTTGATCTCAAGGAGAGTCTGGAAAAATTGACCGAAGAGAAATCCAATAAGACATACAAAATACAAAGAAGCTACAGATAGTTCAGGAGTTCCTGAGCTGAAAATTGAGGCTGGAAAGTATTAGGGGAAAATATATACGCTTTTCCTATTTTTCTCATGTCTTACTTGCTCCTTATGCCCATTTTTCCTTTTGACTATCCTCCCATATGGTAATCATTTCAGAAGACTCTGTTCTAGACCAGTACAGACATTCTTTGACACAGTATGGCTATGTATGACAAAAGGTAGTCTGTCATTTGGCCTCTGGACTGCTCCAGCAATTGACAGATATGAAGGCAATCATTTTATTAACAGCACGGGCCTTTTGTCCAAGGGGATTGTTCGAGGCCACCAATCTAAGTTTCTGCTTAGGGCTGCTATAAGACTATCTCTAAAGATGCCTTAAAGAGCTATAGAATTCCTTACCATTATATATATCAAGGGTGTTTCTTGCCTGGAGTGGACTACTAGTGTCTAGTGCCACTCCAGTTACTCCATCTTCTAATAGGAAAACAGATGCTACAATATCATAGTTTTTTAAGAGACTTTGGTAGACTTAGATCTGATGCAGCTCATCTCTCTCTTGCAGACTCAAAATGTTGCATACCAGCTATGGCAACTGATGTTTGTTTCTCCATCAGGGAGAAAGAGAATAACGGTAAGCGATGCAGCAAAACTAGGCTACAGCTTCAATAATACGCTGTCCCGAGTGTACCTGCGTGCACCCTACCACAGCAACGAGTCTGACTTCAGCGTGGTGAGTTGTTGCTCTCAGTCGGACACAAAACTGCGCCGTTCCCGCTGCCTCTCTAGGACATCAGTTCTCCTTTTTCCTGCATCCCAACAGGTCAGTGGTGTAAATATGAACATGGTCACTTCCACTTCCATGTACAGGCAGCGGTGGCTGCTTTTGCTGATTGACACAACTGTCTCCTGTCCTGTTGGTAAGGATTTCTCCCTTGATCACCAAAAATAAATGCCTAAGGAGCTAGTAGGAAACAGAGTCTCCCCATTTCCCTGCGATCTACTCTATAAGAGACAAGGTTTGCAAGCCACCCTCCAAGCAGCATGAGCTAAGAGTCTGTGGCTTTAGTCTGGGACAAACATGCTGTGATGCTACATTACTCATGTTCCCAGTGCAGTGTTGTACCTTGTCTCTGCCATCTCAAACCCCCAAATTAGATGCAGGAAGCTGGAGACAAGTAAAACTGCTGCAGAAGGGCCAGGGAGCCTCCCCTGGACTAACCCCTCGCCCTTGGCTCTCTGCTGTCATGTAACTCCACGCGGGGGATGCAGCCCTGCACCCTCAGGACTCACCTGGTCTTTGGAAAGGCAGAACGAGCCTGACGTTTTGCAGAACACTGGTGGCTACACCTTCTGTCTCTCACAGAACAGTATTAATTTGAACAATTGATGAGGAAGCAGGAGGTTTTAAGTTGTCGTGATCTTGAAGCCACTATTTCAAGAATGCCCAAACAGGTGGCTCTGTCTCACATTCCTTTTGCCACTAAGGCAAAACTCCTGGGACCAGAAGGAGAACAGCCTAGGTAACTGGGAGCATGGCTGTTGGTTCTTCTGAATAAATTAATTAGTCATCTGCAAGTGGTGATTCAAGTCTACATTGAGCACCAGGGTTTCTGCGACAGAATAGCCATCAGTTGGCTAATATCTTACAGCGTGTGTCATTAGTGAAAGCTGTAAAGGTAATTTGGTGAAAAGGAGTCAGGGAAAGACAGCCATTGCATAGTGAAGACTCACTGGTAACTCCAATTGCCTGGCCTTCTGGGACTGTCTATCTAACTCAACAGATGGCATCAGTTTCACTGATACTACACTAACATGGACGGTGCCAAGCATTATTCCCACATTAGTGGTTCAAGAATCCACCTTTCTGTCTAAAACCATCTTAATGGGAGTCAATGGCCGAGTGGTAGTAAACCCAGAGGAGAAGAACTACTTACTGGAGCACAACAAGACACACATCGAAATAACTATCCCTATTGGAGCAGAAGGAGGCAAGCTGAAGGTTAGTACAAACCTGTCACATACTAACACATTTGAGGGCCTGCACCATGGAAGATGTTTCTAAATCATAATTTTTCCAAATAGTGATTGATTGCTGCTTAAAATTCTTACAAGAAATATTTGAAGACCTAGGTGCTCCTTCTCTGTGTTTTGAAACCACCTACTCAGAAACTAAGTATCATCTCTGATTACAAAGCATGAGTGAAGCAAGCGGCTGTCTTTTCTTAATAATCTATAAAGTATACTAATAAATTAAGAGTGAAGGGATTCCTGGGCACTGGGATTCAATTATCTGTGTGGTTACATTATGAAACTGGTCCTGGCACACTTCTGACCTGGGTCAATGAGCAATTCCCTAGACAATTTCCATACAGACAGCATGAGTTGGTATGGGACAGGCTCCCAGCATGTAGTTTGGGTGCAGCCAACTGCTTTGGATATAGTATAATCTATGTCAATCTATAATTTACAGGTGTAGAGGCAGTGTCCAAAGAAATGTTCAGTATAAAGGAGCTGGCAATATTCTCACAAGGCTCTTTACCAGTTACCTTTGCAAAGATGACATTGGTGTGACTTTGACTCGCCCTGTTCAGAAGTTCACTGTTTGGTGTATCAGTGGACACTTACATCACTATTTGTATGTAACACCAGACAGAGTTGGTATGAAGAACTGTTGAAAGCACAAACAAACTTTCAGAGTGCATTGGGACAGAACGAGAAATGTGGCTGGTAGTCCAGGGATTGCGAAAAAATAAATGCAAATATGGTTACTTACTAAACTTAATGAGGACACACACCCCCGCCAACCCTGATACCTCCTTATTGAGAATCTCAGCAGTATCTGAGCCAAACATGGACCAGACAAATGGGCCAAACAAACAAACAAGCTCCCCTAGCAAAATCCATCCCAAACTGTACTATAATACTGTTTTCTCTTTCTAATGTAAGGATTTTAACCATATTCAGTCATTCCTTTATTGAGCTATTGAGAATTAAGACTTAATCACAAATTTTACCTCCTAGAGCTCCATATCTGGTGGTGTATATGGAGTCATTTACAGTATTGACTTGTTCTTGGAGCACACATGGACAGATGCAGATTGGCAAACCACGAAGTACACTGTCGTCAAATCCATCACCACACCTTTCATGCCACAGATACCAACTGTTATCAACAGTAAGTCATTCCTCTCAAGGAATTTTACTGATCTCTTGCTTTTGACATGTCATACATTGCTCCATTTGACCTCTGCCACACACGTACATTCACCAGAACTGCCTCAACTCCCACTTCCAATTTGCTAGCCAAAGTCAAGATTCAAGGTATTATAAAAAACCCCAAACCTTTAGCCTTAATGGATATATCATTTATCACCCGTCATTATGGGATGAAGTGAAAATTATCGGTTGCTGATAAGAATGTGAACATTTCTTTCACACTAACATCCAGATTTTTCCAGTGAGCACTGGGACCCTAGAACAAAGATGTTGTGTTGTGCAATTATCACAATGGGGAGAACTGTCCGAGGACAGCATTCATTGATGGCATTTTCTCCCCAAAATTGCCTGCATTTGTTATCTTGGGAGCATACTGAAATCATTGTGCCAACCAGTGGTGCAGTAATATTTTTTTAATTGTATTTTCCAATGTATTACGACACTAAATGTCATTGGATCTGTCTGGATAACTGATGTAGAAAGAAAAAGGAGCCTCTTAGCATACATTATGATAGTTTTTCCATATTTTATGTGGCTGAACTAGATTCTCGATTTCTTTATAGGAAAGTCATTGCACATCTTAGTGCACCTCTAGAAAGTTACTGAACCCACTTTCTGTAAAGTTGTATGTATTTGTTGTTAATCTCCCGCAGCTTGAAGCAATTCTCATGTACACAGAGTATTTCAGATCTGACTAGAACACAAACACTCATTAATCAGAGCCATTAAAGAGATGGCTGTTGGCTAAGTTTCCTGGAACTTGAATGAGAGGCCACCCCAACCGTCTTCGTTACTTGATCCACATCAGCAGTAATTTGATGTTCTCTCCCTACAGATACCCTGCCAGAGGAAAGGCTATTTAATGTTGCATTTGGACACTTTCTTCCCGATGTCTCTCTGGTGGCAATCGCAATAGGAAATGTGCCATTTACCCCGAGAGAAGCACAGCACCATGGGTTTAAGATTTATGAAACTCCCTTTTCTAATGGAATGAAAGAATTTATCCTGGAAGTCTCTTTTGATGATCTATATGTTCTAAAGGAGGTAAGATACAGCAGGTCACTCCAGCAGCTGAGTGGAGGAGGTAGGGCAGTCCCTTTTCAGAACACAGCCTGGCTTTTATTAACCAACAACTGTTGCTCAGTCATAAAGGTGTCAATGAGTCTGAGCTCACCTGAATTAAGACTAGAGGCTTGTATGGCCCCACCTTGCTCTCCCTCAGTCTCTGGGAGACATGCTGCATCAAGTGTGATTAGAAGGTATGAAATATGACTTCCTTTAGTGTCTGTCAGCATGGCTAATGTCCAAGCACATGCCCAGCAGGAAGAGGTTTGTCAAATCTCTATTAAATGCTATCCCTTGATACAGAAGTGCCTTGGAAAAATAAATCAATTACTGCAATCCTGCAAACACCAGTTACCAACATCCAGTAAGTCCTGAACCTACTGTTTATGCACAGCCATTTGACCGCTGGCACAGGCCATGCACCATGTGAACATGTACAGGCAGATTTGGGTTATTCTAAATGTAATTTTGTTAAGCTTCAGACCATTTCTAATCTAAATATTTGTTAAAAGTATAAACTCACAGAGGGAATTCAACCTCTCACTTCAGCGGCAAGATGCATAAGTGCAAGTCCTCTACCACTGTTTCAACCAAACCATGCAGAGTTGCGACACCACTTTCTGTTACAAGGAACAAGATTGTGAGGGCACAGGATCAGGACTAATTTTCAGGCTGCAGTCAAACCACAGTTAAATTGCATTAAGGATCAAAGCAAGCCAAAAATTTTTAGAAGTATGTCTTTCAGGTTGAACGGCAGGTTTTACTTTGGGGGCACTTTCAATGAAGTAAATGAGGATATTGAGAGGGATGTCTCACAGCACCTCCTCACACCTTCTATCTTACCAATTACTCACTCTCCTGGGTCCAGCCCACATTCTGGGTAAAGAAGAATAAGGATTTGGACCCAGATCTCCCTCTACGAGCTCTTTCACCAGTGGGCTACAGAGGAAACACCACTGTGTTCACTTCTGCCTCCATTTTCTGAACAGGCACTACATTCTCCACATTTATGTTTGGCCAAAAAAGCTGTTGAATCCAGTCCAGATTTCTGAATAGTTTTAGGCCAACTGAAGAGATGTTTTTGGAGACTGAGCTATTTGCAGGGGAGAGGAGGGTGTTGGAATAATTATTTAGTGCTGCTCAGGATATACATTCCTGTCTGTGCTGGAAGCCATTGCTACTGCAGCCTTACACTTCTCTCTCTTTCAGTATGTGAATAGAAATGAAACAAAATACACCCTCCTTGTTAACTACACTATAAGCGTGGGTCCGGAGATGACACTCTATTATCATTCTGCAGAGGTGGAGTGTGTGGTTGCTGATATCGGTAAGCTTTCCCCCAATATTAACTGGTTTGCATCAACAGCATGGATCAGATTTTCATCGAATTCAGTGAGAACAGCTTTAGGCTGAGGATGAGAGCTTTTGGGAAAACCCCACCCTTCAATAGGTCATTATTGGTAACATAGCCAACTTGCTGCTTTTCTGATGGCAGCTCTTCTGCATACTGGCAAGACAGTCTGCCCTCGAGACACTGAGAGCAATAAAAACTAGTGTGTAAAAGAAGTTGGCTTGCAAACTCAGTGAACAAGATGCCTCATAACTTGAACATACATCTACTGGCAAAACTTTCAGACATTGCTGTGAGTTTCAGTTTGTCCTCAAATGCAATTCTGCCTCTGTGTCCAGGGCAGAACTCAACTGACTCAAATAAATTGCTGCGAACTCCAAAGACAGCATTTCTGTAAGGAGACAATCATCCACTAAAAGCTGTACTTAGCAGGTTATTGAACCAGTCAGGAGGTCTGGTTGGTATTTTTCTCAAACTTCTTAGATTTTGGATGCCACGAAGGTGACAGTGTCTCCTCACTGTCCTATTTTATCTTTGAAATAGCCTGGCTTCAATCCAGAGAAGGCTGACCAAAAAAAATATATTTGCATACATAGCTCAGCTTGCCTTACTGAAACAGGGAGTAGTCCTGGAAGCAAGCTGGCAGGCCACCACTAAAGCATGAGGATTCCCAGTCCCACTAATTGTGAGCTGTTACATCCACAACACAGCCAAAGCCCTGCAGACGATGCCAGTATGCGCGTAACAGGGCTACTGCAATGCAAGTGCAAAATTTACCCACGAAGGAAATCCCTGCCTGGGCCAAACATCATTGCTAAAACCTTCCTTCATTGCTAACTCTTAACCCAACCTTCGTCTTACAGAACTACCAGAAGCAGTTGGTTACTGTGATGAAGAAAACCTGTATCTAGCCATCCCTCTTTTTGGCTTGCACCAGTATTGGAACCTGTATCTTGGTGACAAGCTCCTAAACCGACACGTTGCACTTATCAATGGGTATCTTGCAGCTACCAACTCTACCCACCTGATCTTGCAAATACCTCTGTTTGCTGTGGGAGTTATCTACGAGGTACGTGAACTGTATAGCAATTCCTTCTTTAAAGCACATAGGACTGTTTGCTCATACAGCCGCAGTCCTACAGTCACAGTTTGTTGTGCCGCAGTATTACACGTATTGGGAAGCCTCCAGAGGGAACAGCTCTAAGCCAGTGCAAGTAGGACAAGCGGTATCGGACATGGACCCTTCTGGTAATGCCATGTATTATGTAATCTGCAGTGCTAAATTGTCTCTAAAAGATATGCACCAAGTCTTCAAAAACAAACTCCTCAGTATTTTTAGTAAGATGAAGCAAAATGTCCCATCTGCACTGAGCCAGAAATAATATTTCAATATAGCTTTTATGAAAGAAGCTCTTTTAAAGGAACATTTTGTAGAAATGTTAAGACATGGCAGGGGAAAATTGATGCTGTAATAAACATCTGAACTATTCTACAATAATCAGCCAAAAGTTATCTCTGTGACAGTGACCAATTAATTCGTACAAGAAAACTTCTGCCCCCATGTTGCATCAGGCTCGAGTCTTCAGACTGACTCAACTCTTGTGACTTGTTAGTATTCAAGTGGCACAAGCTAAAGAGCAGAACTTTGTACATATGGATCACATGCCCTAACAGGAGACCTCTTCCATCACCTCCTTCACAGGAAGTGTCCTTTCAGAAAATTAAAGCAAGGTTTGATGTTGCCCTGAGGAAAGTGAGAACTATGGAGACCTTACAGATGTTCTCCGTTAGCTGCAGTTTTAATTCTCCAGCATTTATAAGTAAGTTACACAACTGATCAATCAATAAAAAGATCTGTGATTCTTTCCTTGAATTTATAACCAATTCTCTGATTTTCTCAGTATGCCACCCAGATGGTACCATAATGATATCTGCCCAAATGAAGACAGTTCCTGCCATTGATATGAGTAAAACCAAACTAAGGGATAGCTCTTGCAAGCCTAGAGAGTATAATGAAGGACATGCCTTCTTCAAGTTCCATGTCACTACCTGTGGCACTTCAGTAAGGGTAAGCCCATGGCCAGAGCAGATATATCTGCTGGAAGTCTCTGTCTCTCCTGCATTTTCTCTTTTGTTCCCCTGCACCAGTTCCTGAAAAGATTAAACTTTTAATGAGCTTCCCATATGCACAGTTTGAAGGTGATCATATTATTTATGAAAATGAAATCTCTTATGAGAAAGAGACTCTTCCAGGACAGAGCATACCGACAATCACAAGAGATCCAGACTACAGGTAGGAGCTACTGCTCACTGACACTGCTCACTTTGGCACAGCTGCTGGAAGGTAAGAGTGAACACAGAAATTACCCTTTCTTCTATTATAGACTAACAGTCTTGTGCTACTATCGAGCAAAAGAGACCCTAGTGCTAGGTGCCTTTGCTAGTGATCCATCCACATCACCTCCCTTTGGCTCCGGTACGATGGTACCAAGACCAAATATTGCAGGTAGGCAATTCTTTTCCTCCATTTTTAAACTTCTGTGACTCTCTTTGTTGTAAGTTCCCTTGTTAAGACATGCCCTGCTTCCTACTAAAGAACCTCACTAACATTTCCTTTTCTGCAGTACACAGAAGGATAAGACAAGCCCTGAATGTAGTTTCAAGAGTGTCCAAAGGTAAGTCTCCCCCTAAGAAAACCAGAAAATTTCCAAACATTTTAATTTAAATAAAATTAAACAACAACAAAATCCCCTGACATTTTCTCAAGATGAATCTTTCATGGAATTCTATGAGCCAAACATGGCAATACTCAAGCGACCTGTGGAGCCTGTGTTTCTTGAGGTGGAGCTGAAAGATGAGAGCCCCGACATTGAGTTATACCTGGAAAACTGCTGGGTAACCAGGTCTCTAGACTTCAACAGCACCCCAAGATGGAACATCACTGTGGATGGGCAAGTAGCTATTGAATGACCAATGCGCTCATCAGCAAAGCCCTAATTTCTTCTAGATCTGTTGATCTGTTCTCTCAAATAGGTGTGAGATTAATGGCAGTGAGTATGTTGCAGAGTTCTGTCCAGTAGCTGTTAGCCCCAGGGTGAGACATCCTTCTCATTTTAAAAGGCTGGCAGTAAGGACCCTGGCACATCGACTGGAACAGGTAAGGTTAAGTGAAAGGCTCACCTCCCACTCACGCACACTATCCTCTGAACTTCTTAACACCATATAAAAAATAGCCAATTTAAACACCTCACAGACTTAAGACCTAGCCAGCATTCAACCCAAGTACCCTGACCGGTGCACAGCTTTAATTTAGTTCTCTTCTCAAATCCGCTCTGCAACACAGTTTCAGTGACTTGAGATTGCACTGGCTGGGGTAAACAAAAGAGTTTGGTATGTAAATATGATTTTTATATGGTGTTTCTGACTTTTTATAGGATCATAAAAAGTCATAGCACTTCAGCTCAAAATGTCTAGAGCAGAAAAGTCAACTTACATGCCGTAACATCCACATGAAGTTCAGCTGTTACCTCCCATCAGTCCCAGTGAGTCAACCATCTCCTCAGATGCCAGCCCAATGGGCAAGGAAGCAGAGGCGTGTGGGTTTGGTCTTACACTTTTGAGGTTCTGCCCTCCTCTAACAGGTCTAAGAAGAGCAAAGAAAACCCCAGGACAGTCACCTGAGGGTGCTTTGCTCCTAGTGCACCCAACTGAGTGGACTCTAGCACTGATACGAGCCATGGCAGTACCCTTGCCTGGGCAGCTCAAGTAACCACATAATTCTTTTGACTTGGCCTTTCATAAGCAGTTCAACTCACGAACTTGCTAGAAATGAACATGATGCAATTCTGGCTTGTGCTGCTTCCTAAGTGCGCAGCTGCATCTAGCACTAGATTGAGTTTCTGTCTAGCTTTGATACATAGCTTCACTGCAGCTCGGGAGGTTTTAACTTCTCCTACCTCAGCCTCTCGGTTACCAAACTGCCTGAGGGCTTCTTTGACACCAAATTTGAAATTCAAGGCAGGTTCAGCTAGAAGATGCCACACACAAGTGTTCAGACAAGCCTAAGTCTAATCAGCTGTGACTTCTGCAAAAGGCAGACAAAAGACAAAACGATGCTCTGCAAAGCGGGATTTGGTATGGACCAAGCGGTGCTTTTTCGTCTTCACAGGTCTATGTGCACTGCTTGGTGGCAGCCTGCTCTCCTACCAACACACTACCTGGCAGCCCCTGCAGAGTAGAGTGCAGCTCGAGCAGGGAGAGGAAAGGTAGGCGTTCAGGAGAAAAAGAACCGTTGCAAAGCACTCCTGACCTGATGTTTTTAAGGGATTTGGGACCTCTAGTTTTGGTATCTGAAATGCCTTGAACACGGACTGTGTAACATTACCTTTAGTTCATACTTTAATACATTAGCACTTAATGTGCAGCGTGTATGTATTCTTTAAAAACTACACAGATACACTGTGTATCATTCTCAGCCTTTCCAGGTCACCGTTCAGCCAATCTCCAGGGCTACGTACTTGCTGGACCAGTCTGGATCATTGATCCAGATCTAAGATGACGCATGTGAACTGAATTTGGTAAGAACACCAGGTCCTGCGTACTCGCCTAGAGAGGTCACCATGCTTTGTAGCGCAAGCGATGCATAGCCTGTCCTTCAAGACCTTAGAACTGTAAGTTCTGGGACAAGAACGAGGGAACAGGCAGGGGTTGCAGTCTCCTGGTCTAAGCTTGGGCCTGTGAGAGAGGGAAGAAGGAGAGCTACCTGCCAAGCCAAACACAGGTGGCATGGCTCTGGAGAAGATGCCAGCAGTAGAGCAGGACATGTTGGAGTTGGGCTGTAGCAGGCAGTTTTGGAACCAGATATTATTTCAACAGGTTTTCAACTGGACTGCACCCAGTCTGAAAGAAAATAGATCCAAAATTTTAGAAACAAACATTAAGGCACAAATCACTACCACATTCCAAATTCTTTCGACGGGTCCAAATCCTCCAAACTGTTAGGGTCTACCCTTGGAGAACCAGAGCTATTCATCTGTGTGCTCCAGCCTCACTCCTCACTTCACTGTGTGTCTCCAACAGCTCCTGAAGGCTCTGCTGTGCTGGCTGCTTTCCAAACAGTGCAACTAGACACAGGAGCTGCCTCTTTCAGTGACCAGAAGAACTGTCTTGCTTCAAATGAAAAGTCCAGACGGTGGGACTCAGAAGAGCACCACAACACTGGAAAGTGCTAGGGTCTGCTAACAGGATTAGTAAATGTTGTAACCTGTTGCCTCTCTGAAGTGGCTACAAATGAGAACTTACCAGAAAATAGCCCAAGGCTGCAAAGTAAACACTTCTTGTTTCTTCCAGCTGTTGAAATAGGGACTTGCAGATCACTAAAATTATTCCAGCCCTGATTATGGCTGCTTCTTTTAATATTTCATAAAGTGACTGCCAATCCTCCCATGTGAATGTAAAGTGCAAATCTGAAAAGTCAAATAAAAATACATACAAAGTAATCCAAGTGCAGAACATCTCCTTGCTAATGTGCAACAGCAACCACCTGGTGTACCAACATTGGCTTCAAAGAGCCAAGCAATCTGCTACCTGGGGCCTCTTCCACATACAACACAAAGGCATACTTTTTTTTCCCCATTAATGCCGATTTTTGTCTAGAACATTGCATTGACCTGAGCATCTCGGAAGCCTGTTAGTTGCTCACTTTCCTTTCACCTGCCCCTGTATGGAAAAGGCTAACTCTACAAAATGGGAGAAGACGGATTCTCTAACATGAGTAAAAAGGACAACTTACCTGGTATTTCTTCTTTCTGTGCCTACAGAGAACATTTTTTTTAATTATTTCCAAGAGATAAAGGACAAACCAGACACACGACCACCTGCAATCTCTCTCAGGATGTGCCTGCACTGCAACCGGAGGCGTGCCTGCAGCACACGCAGGTGTTCGACACCAGTGAAGAGGGGACAATGGCACTGGTGCTGATGCAGGCTAATACTGCACACGTCTGCTGTCTCCAGTGGGTTTACACAGCTCGTACAGCCTCTATCTTCACAGGCTGGCTGGTTACGCACACCGATTAGTGCATATACATGGCACGCTTCCCAAAAGCTGCAGTCATGCCTGGGATGAGTGCTGAATAAATGGAGTCTTAAAGCTGTATCTGCTGAAGGACTAAGTTTTGTAACAAGGAATGGGAGGGTACTGGGATCCCAAGACCCCCTTCAGCACCAGCCTGGGAGATGCCTTCCTCTCTGCTGTATGAGCAGTGCACTCTACTGTCCGGAGCTAACACTGCAGAGTCAAGCAAGCCCACTGCTCCCACACGTTTTCCAAGAGCACAGTCCCCATTTTTAATGTTAACAAAACCTCATCAGTCTAGGTTAACTTTCTGTTAATCTAAAAAGCAGTCTTTTTGAAATTTGTAAGCTGGGATGAAGGTTAAATAATGATGACTAAATGCTAGCTCTTCTTTTCCCAGAGCTCACGGGACACTGTCTAGTTCCACGCAGATGAGCATCAGGTCTGGTGGTGTGTCACTAAGGCTCGCTCGTCCTGCAGTCTTGCAGACTAGATTCAGGTAAACTTGTCTGCAGCAAGTGGGATATCCCAGATCTTTCCCTTTTGCCCTAGAAAGCCAGGAAGGGGTCCAGCAGTGTTCCCTACCCATCCACCCACCAGCCAGCAGATGGGAAGACCTTTCTCTTCTGGATACATTGGGAAGGGAGAAGGTGAGACGGAACCTGCATTCCCATTTCAACAGGCATTTCAGGTTCCCACATTCTCATAGACAAGCCAGAGAAATTCCACATCCTTGGTTTCTTCCTCCTACCTTGGTTGCTGTTCATGGCAGCTGATATTTTTCACACTAAATCATGCAAGTGTGTTAGGATTAGGCATTCGTTGTTTAGCTTTGATGGTGACTTCCCCAGCTATGATTCAGCCACGCGATTGCATGCTGTATTGCTCTGCATCTAGGTTCTCCTGGGATTACTCCCTCCTCTCAGGTATTGCAGCTGGAACTTCAGCACCTAACTCATGTCCTAGATTGCAGTTTTCGGGCTATGGGCTTAAACTCTTTCTTGGATTAGGCTTTCAGGAACCACTCTGGTCATACCACTATGGTTGAACAAGCCTTCACTATTCAGCCAATGTGGAGCAAAGGAATTAGGAAGGTGCGAGAGACATGTTAAATGCACAGATACAGGCACACAGCAGTCCCCATACAAGCCTGGAAAGCCTTGAACTTTGGATCAGGCTTTTTCCATAGTAATAGGAGTTAGGTTGAAACCTACAGTTGTGATGTCTGTGGCAGGGTTGGACTAACTGTTCCTTGCTGGGAGATCAAGATATCCTTTATGTCCATTTCACGCGCTTACTGTGCAACACAAAGACATGAACGATGAAAAACCTGATTGTCATGGGCTGTAGGAGGCAATGCTGTGGACTGCATCCAATCCCTCCCTGCTCATGGACTAAAGGGATCCTACAAGGAAAATCTTAGAAGCAGTTAATATTCAGAAACAGAGTTCAACTGAAATGATCACAACATGCTGCTAGGTGGGCCTCCACCTTGACAAGATCTCACAGCAAACTTTTTTCATAAAAAGCAACCAGCCATTCCATCATGTGTGAAAGCCACAGGCTGAGGTTGCACCTGTTCTACTGATCCAGCTTCTGCCTCTATTAAAAGGATTAGGCAGACTGACAATAACCCCCTAACACAAAAGAACATAGGACGTTATCCTTCTACTAGCAATCTTCAGTTTTGAACACTGGTTTTGCTTCTTTTTGAACTCTTCCCTTTCTGATAGTCAGGGGAGAGCACGACCTGCATAGCCGAGCTTGACTGTTACAAAGGCATTCCTTCCCCACAAAATTTGAATAGCGCACTTTTCTCTACTAATTTACTTTTTACCAACTAAACGGGACAGTGCATAGTGCAGTCCTCGGTTGTAACAGCCAAAGATTTTCAGGTTTTTAATGCTGAATTACCTCTGTTGTCCACTCAGAGGGAAAGCATGTGGAAGAGGAACATATTCTGGCCACTTGAAGACCTAGCCCTTTCCCCTCAACGCGCTGCCAGCTTTCCCTTCGGCATGGCTCTCCTTGTTCCCCACGCTGTATCTCACACCAAACGTATATGAAACACTTCTCATACTGCTGTGTGCCCTGCTGACCTGGGATTTTGTCATCTTTTCCTACCTTTCTGCAAAAGCAAGGGAAAGGCCTTGCAACACTGCAAGTGCTGTGACAACTCCTCCTCCTGTGTTTCAGAAGGACAAGCAGGGTAGTAGGGAAAAGCACAGGGCGATGATGTTACCTCTTTGCCTTTTTCTCTGAGCAATTAAGAACTTGAAGACTGTTGTTCCAGATACTAAAGAAAAACAAAACCATTCTGTAAGGTATTGAGGAAATCACCAGGTAGAGAACCCTGTTACTTGTTGCCAAATTAATCCCAGCTATGGGGAACAAACTAAACAGAGGGGCTGCCACTGAAGGCTGTGTGAGGGGAAGAGTCAAGGGCTTTTGGAGAGTAGGTTTATAGGTAGGAAACCTTGGGAAAGCGGCTGTGAATTATTCATGTCTGAAACACTTCTGGCCAGGGTAAAGACACAGTCAACGTACATTAGCAGCAATCGCCTGTTGGACTTACTGGTACAGCACCACGACTCTGACTAGCGAACGTTTCACAAGGGCAATGGAGGGGGCAGACAGGATTGACCCAGACACTCTACAGAGGTTTATAATTTCCAAGCAAAGACAACCCCTAAAGCCCGGTGAAGGTGTAAAGCCACAGTACCTCTGCATTGCAAAGCATCCAAAGCACACAACTCCTGCTCCTTTTAAAAAGCTGAGAGGTTGCCTGAATTTCATGTGGAAACACTACATAAAAAGAATTTTACTGCTCTCCATTAGACTTTTAATTCTTAAAGGATTATGAACAGGAAACCTTGCAGGACAAGGGGAGTTACTAAACATATCTTCAAGTTTTTATATCAATAACAGGGGTTTACACCCTTTGAACAGGCCTGAGTGAAAGAACACCACACAATGCTATTTCATAATTTCAGACTGAAAACCCCAATTAGTCTTGTGATGTAAAGCCAGAGAACTAAGTGACTCATGGTTGCACGTGAAAGGGGAAAATGTGTGTGAGAACGTTACTGGCCAAAATTACCTTGAAAGAATTCCAAATTATGCCAAAATGCACCACGACAGTTCATGCTTTTGCAGGAGAGACACGGAAATACTGTGGAGAATCTGTGATAAAATTGCTCCCAGTCCAGTGGAATATTTCTGTGCCAGCAATGAATGCATTTTAAGTAATTGAGTAACGTTCACAAAACAACACAAGCTGGGAAGTATGAGGAATATTATTACTAGCGTCTTTGTTCTCTAAAATACTTACGTGCTGTTAATCTTTTGATTTTTATCTGTATCTTGTCATTTAAAGTGTTCTGTGCAGAACCACACCTGTGATCTCTCAAAATAAAACTTTGTAAGTCATGTTCAACTGCTCATACTGTCTTTTTAAATTTTCTTGGCATGGTAAGTCAGGAACAGGTTTAGTTCTAGCTCACCTTCTCGCCATCAACCAAGAGTTGGTATGATTTCTCAATTTTTGAGACTGAGGTGGCATGAAATGTGCCAAGTCCTCGAATTATCGATGCTGTTTTGGAGACAGAGCACTAAGATATAAAAATGGAAGCAAAGCACATGCTTAATATATCCAGAAAAGTAAAAAATTAAACCTTTGGAAAAAAATGGTCATTGTTATTCCAAACTGTAAATGGTTACATTCTGCTATCATGCATTGTATTTATTTAACTTCAACATTGCTACTGTCAGGAGCAGGAGAGGTAAATGCGGCATCTTCTCAGCCCTGCACTCCAAATCTGCTCACTGCACCTGTTGCAGTGTTTCATCCCAAAGCTGAAAGAGAACTCAGCAAGGCTGCTGGGGAAGATGTTCAGAGGCTGAAGTCTGTTCTCGTGACTTACCCCAGAGGGTTCCACCATCTTCAGTGAGCCCTGCCCTTGTGCAGGCTCCGGGATCATCCACGGAGAAACTCACCGTAAGAAGCAGAGCGGTCATTAGCATAATTTATTTTAAAAAAATAATCCTAATGCGCACGTGGGCAATGCAAGAGTATTTCTTTTGTTAGAACTTGTATTGCTATGAACATACGAGGGTGTTTCTTATCGATGATTTATAGACTTCATCAATGGTCCCTCTTACCGTGCGAGAAATGAAGCTGCCTAGCTATTCACAGCCAGTTCAATCAGATTTCATGTTGTATTCTTCAAGCAATTGACCTTTTACAGTAACAAGGAGAAAGCCACAATTCCTACTGTGAATAGCCCAACTACATTCTCTACAATAACCTCTTTACAGACAATCACAAGGTAAAAAGTACATGTTCATTTTTATTCATTCAATTATTAAGCTGCCCAATACTTTTACAATAGGGTTACAAAAACATAGGTATGCCTTGTTCCCACCTGCTTAGGTAAAACAACCTCTAGGAGCGAACAAATGTACATAGGACTGAATTCTTATACCACGTTCCTCATGCAAGGTACAGATGATATTTCCTAAAAAGATCTCATTGTTTCTGTTAAATTTGTTTCTTAATACAGAAACACTCTGAACTGAAAAGAAAATCAGTTACCATAGCATCTCAAGGCCAGCACCTTATAATTAACAACTGCACTTTCAGCTTAAATCAAATTTACATTTAAATGTGGACAAACACTATCATTATTAAATCCCTGTACTTCTCGCAAGCTCCAGTCTTAAGTATTTAAATGTTTTATAGTTTTTCTTCCTCATGAAAGACTGTTTAAAACAATCCGTGAAAGAGTACAGAAACACAGTTTTAATAAGAGAACTACAGACTTCATTTGCTGTTACTGAGCTTCCAACATCTTTATGAAGCACTTCTGTACAAGTATCTCACGTAGATCTAACATTATGCTTTTCCTCAACTCTAACAATATAAAAAAATAGTTTATTTTGCAATCAAAATCATAACTTATTTGCCCAAGAACGACGTTTCTTCAGTAGGTCATAACAGATGTAAATGACCTTGTGTTTCATCCGTCAATGACAAAAATCAGGTGTTTTGCAAACCATTTTCACACCACTAGCTGCACTTTCAATAACCCCGCTTTTGTTTTTCTTCTTTATCAAGAATAGCCTGTTTTAGACTCAATGCAGCATCTTCAAACTGGGGGTTTAACTCTAATACTTTCCTGAAATCTTTCATGGCCTCATCAAAGCATCCTGTCCAAAGAAAAAAAAAAAAGAAAGAACAAATTATCTCTCTGTAACTGCTCAAACTCACAATCCGCAACCAAAGAATGACTCCCAATACCTTCACTAACAAAAAGCAGCAGCTGTACTTACTAGACCCACTACATTTGGATTCCCCAGAAGCCCAAGCGGGAGTCAAAAGGTCTTCAGAGCAAGAACCCAAGTGCCTATTTTTGAACCTAAAATGGGCTTAAGGCTCAGTTCAGCCAGCTTATTCAAAGATAAGGAGCCAAAAGGCCCACACTCGGGCAACTAACCAATAGCCAGGCTGCCTTAAACCTGGAACACAGGCACACTGCTTCCCAGCTGAGGCTCTTGGTCAGGCTCCATTTCCCTTAGCGCTCTCTCTAGTCCCTCAGGCTCTGGGTCTTGACTTTGCAATGGCCAAGCTCCAGCAAAAAGGTCCAGGGGTGCCACTTTTGTGTGGTGTATTCCAAACCGGGGCAGCAAATTCTGCAGAGACAGCTGAGAAGGCTGAGCTCGCTACGGCTGCTCCCGCTTAAGAGATGCTTTACCTCAGGTTAATGGCAACATTTGGAATTGGCTAGTTTTACCCCTCGTGCAAGTTCCTCCTAAACTGAAAACTGCATCCTTCCCCATTTTTCCCCGAACAGTTATCGTTTCAGATGACACAGCCCCCCATCTAGAGCAGCAAGGCTCTCTGACTGCACCCACAGGGCAGACCGGCAGCTGAAACGTCCGTCCGCACCACGTATTTCTGCAGTGACGGCCCTCCCCGGCCGGGGCCGGGCAGGACTCTCCGTCCCTACAACGGAGGGAAGCACCCTCCAGCTGCGGGTGAATCTCGGGACAAAGCGGGGCTCCCGGTAGCCCGGGCGGGAGGGGACCCGGGTAGGCGGGAAGCCCCGAGCGGGCCGGGCCGGGGCAGGACCGCCGCTCGGCTCGCCGGCCCGGCGCCGCTGGCGTGACCGACTGCGCCTGGCCCGTACCCAGCCGGTAGAGCACCAGGCCGCGGTTGTAGTAGGGCACCTCGAAGCCGGGCTGGCACTCGATGGCGGCCGTGTAGTCCTCCACGGCGGCGGCGAACTCCACCCGCAAGTACTTGATCTGGCCGCGGTCGTTGAGGGCCGTGGCCAGGTCGCGGCCGGCGCTGCGCGGGGACAGAGGGAGAGCGGCCGTTACGGCGGGACCCGCGCC